GGATGCAAAGTCAGAGGTGAGGCAGGGTCTGAGCAAAAGCAGCAAACCTGCAGCTCTCAAAATGCATAGGAGAAATTGCAGTGGAGGAATGTGTCCGTGCTGGCAGATGTGATGCCTCTGGGACTGGTGAAACCTTATCTGTGTCTCAACACTGCTCTGTCATCTGAAGCCTCCGTGGAGGGGATGCACCTGGCACTGGTGCCAGGCCCTGTACATGTCTCACATCTTCTGGGGAGCTTGGAGCAGGTGGCACTTGCAGGTCTTTGCATCTGAAATGTCCTGAGCTTCAGAAAGAGCCTCCAGCTGAAGAGTGCTGTGGATCTGAGCTGTGCTCCAGCACAGGGCCCTGTTGGATGCATCCTGTGGGCTTGGGAAGAGTTCCTGGACATCACAGAAATGGTCCCTCTTGGGCAGTGCCCTGCAGTTCTAAATGTCCCTGACTGCTGGGTTCCTGCAGACCTGGGGAGAGCTGTGGGAGAGGAGCTCTGCACAACCTGGGATTCCTCACACACTGCAAGGACTCTGCCACATGCCCTTGGCAGAGCAGACCTTGCAGAGGGAGGAGTCAGGCTGGGACTGTGCTGGGGGAAGTGTTCTCAGGTTATCTGCAGGCTATCAGTGGGATGTTAAGCAACTGAGGTCCCAGGATCCAGAACTGGGCACCTGACCCCAGCATGGGGTGGGAAGTCTTGGAGAAGAATAAGAAAATCTGGAGTTCAGGAAAACCACCTGTAATCAATGAACTGAGAGCAAAGCTCTGATTTCAGACTTCCTCACATTTTTTAAACACTGTCATGGCAGATGCTGTGGGGAAGGTGTAGGGGATGGATGGGACCAGAGCAGCATTTGAATTCATCCATTGTGCCAAGGAATGCAAGACCACAAAAGATTTTCTGTGTGTAATTAAGGCAGGGTTAGTTTGTTATGGTTCTCAACCAGGTTTGTAAAATACTCAGACCCCAGACCTATTTGCTGAATTGTTTGCAAAGTTGGTTTATCTCTTACCCGGCAGCTACTAAGGGGTGGGGAGAGGAAGGACAGGCTGTGATGATGGTCATTCAAGCAGCAATTTTAAATTGAGAAAATGGTATTTTAAAAGAAAACAGGAGATATTTGTATAATGTTGACTTTGTTTCCACTCATTTATGCATCTTCATTTTAGACTGTGCATCACTCTCTAGTATTGTAGGATAAAACAGAAGGCAAGAATTTCCTGACCTAAGAACAATTCCCATGTGCTCTTCCAGGAGTGATGTGTCCCCAGGCAGGGATATCTGTGCTGGCAGGCTGAATCAGGTGTGTTTGTCTTTCTGGAGACACTTTGGCCTCCAAAGCCTGGAAGCTCCCCTCCAGTGCAGGGGCATCACTCTCTGAGCTGTGTTATCAGCTGTGAAACAGCCACTGTTCCTCTTTGGTTCTCTTCATGTCTTGGCCATGAATGGGGCCCAATTCCACTTGCCAAACATTCCAGCTTGCTGGCCTGTTTCTGCAGACATCACTTCTTGTTCTTGATTTGCCTTTTTGGTTATTATTTTCCATGCTGCATATTTGAATGTGCTCCTTAAAATTGCCTGGAATGGCCTAACTTCTTACAGCCCAGACTGTATTTTGAATTAATAATGTAAAAAGTGCTGGTAGAACCTTTGCCCTTTCATGACTCAGTTTTATTTACATCTTCAAAAGTTTGGATGATTTAAGTGCATTTATGCTGTCTTTGTATCTTTAATGGCATTTGTCAACACCAACCTGTAATTGTGCAGGAGTTACATGGGGCTTTTGATCATTTAAAACTGTCATATTAAGCTGTGTCCTCATCACATGTGGGGTCTAATGGTCACCATCTTCCCATAAAGTCATTTTTGGGGACACCCTGTTTCCCCCAGCCTCTGAAAGCTCAGGGCACCACTGATGTCTTTGGCCATCTGAAACTTAAAAATTTCCCAGGTTCTGCAATGACCTTGCCACTGGTGATGCTCTTGATCTCTCCAGCTCTTCCAGCACCTCATTTTTGAAGCTTTCGAGCTTTTATTTCACATTTTAAATTGGATGCAGGCTGTTAGAAAACAAAACCCTTTAGCAAAGTTTACCTGGAATTTATTGAAGTCATTCATCAATAAATGGTGGCCATGGAGGTTGCAGGTTGTTCTGCAATGCAGTTTTATATTTTGCCATCATGGTCCTTTCTCCATAAACACAAAAGTGAAAACATCCAGTGAATATTACTTTTAAGAAATTGGATTGTCCTTAAGTTAGTATGAGTCTTCAGAGCAGTCTGGGGTTAAAAAAGCAGAGCAGATTTTAAAGAAATAAGCTTTCAATGTATTATTTTCATTGGAAATGTTCAATTGCTGCTTTGGAAATCTTAATGTATATTTTTCAGATATCCTGAATTTATGTCTTTGTCTTGTGAGGAACTTGAGAGAAATGAATACAGACAAATTATTTCATAAAACATGCGAAATGGCTGTGGATTGACAGTTAAATCTGGAATAGTGAATACAGTCAATTTTCCTCTTTGTTCTGTCAGCAGTCACTTGTACTCTAAATGTCTATTTAATTTTTTAAGTAGATTAACGGGAAATGTTTGCATTATTTGATTATTGAATTTACTTTCCCAAATAATGGATCTTTTCCTCAAATATTTATGTGATCTTGAAAATGTTTTTCCAGAAGGGAAAAATGCTAAAAATGAATGGGGAACATATTTTGAGTTATTTGTAGTGTGTGTACATAATGCCTCGCCTGAAATCACTGCACACTTGCCTTTTGGTGGGGAAAAAAAGCAGTTTGTCATCTGTACTGCCTTCCAAAATTAGATTCAGATAATCCCACCTTTTGGAGTAAATGAGCAGCAGATTGGTCTTAAAAATGAAATTCAAGTAAGCTCTTGGTAAGTGATATAAAAAATAAATAAGCTAATATGTGAGCAACAGAGAGCATCTCAGTGATAGATGATAACACAGATTACCTTTGTTGTGTTCATAATTAGTCTGGGCAGGGAAAGGAGAGGGAGAAGGAGGCATCAGGAAATGCTTTTGTTTAGTCCTCTGTGGTTGGGTTTGGTTTGGTTTTTGTGGGTTTTTTTTATTTTTTTGTCTTTTTTTTTTTCCCCTGTGCTCTGTGTGTGCATGTGGCTCACCGTGCACGGATGAGGAATTGTATAGGAAATTTGCAGCTGCTCTAGTTATTCAGTAAGATTTGTATAAGCTGGCACGAGGGACAAAATTAGAGGGAAGTTGAACGAGTGCTGTGCAGTTTATTAGCTAGGCAGCCATAATTTTGACCTTGCTGTGGGTTAAAGGACACAGACCTGAGAAGAAATCTGTTTATCATGTAGGGAATTCATGCCATCCCTGACAGTGTACAGTGAACAAGATGGATGATCTGCCAAATTGGTCCCTCGCATGGGTGAATCAGGGCGAATTTACAGTACGATTCCTTTGCTGCTCCTGATACAGAAATAACATTTCCCAGGGTTTCTGTTCGGTTGTATGATGACCCAGGGTGAGCAGAGAAAAGAAATAGGATTTGTAGGATCCCCTTTACCTTAATGATTTACATGCACCTCACTTTCCTTTCTGTCCGCCTCTCACATAAAGCACTAAAGAAAAAGTCACATTTTTAGGTTTGAGAGAGCAACTTCAAGTGAGTGTGTCAGGGAAGCTCTTGAATGCAGCATGGGGAAGCTCCCAGGCCCCTGAACAGCAAACACCATTATCCTTTGCACCCTGCTCCATTTGGGCCTGATTTTTCCTGTGCATTATTTTCCTTCAGCATTTGGGATGTGTTTCCACGCTACACGGGCTGCATGCTCAGGAATGATCTGACAATATTCTGGATAGCAAACTCAAAAATCAGCGAGGTTTGCTGGCAGCCATTGCCTGGTGGGACCTGAGAATCCTCTGTGGTGGCACCACAGGGCTCAGAAAGCTGGGCTTGGATGGGGTCTGGCCTCCTCCTGGTGCAGCAGAGAGCTCTGTCAGCCTCCTCCAGACAGCTGGAGCCAAACCCAGGGATGTGTGAGCCTGGGATCCATGTCATTAACCCTGGCATGGAATGGGTGGGAGACAGCAAGGAGCAGGAAGCAGCCCCATAGAAATGGGGAAAACTGTGGATGGAGAAATCCTGTGCTCCTTATCTCCTGAATTATTCTTGTAAACCACGTTGCCACGTTGTGTGTTGTTGTTTTTAAAAAGGCTCAGCCTGTACCCTCACATGTCTGGAATCTCTGAATAAGCTCAGTCAGTACGTTCTGTGAGAGATAAATTTATTGGGGGAAAACAACATTTTGTACAGAACCTATTGTTGTTGGCAAATTAACAGATTGGGAAAGCTTTCTTTTAAACCAAGTGTCACAATAACAGATTTGGGTGTCTCCTGATCCACTCGCTATCTTTATGTTGGATTCTCAAACACTTTAATTAATACAACATAATTACAAACTGTATTTTAATCTTGTTATTTCTGGACAAAGAGAATTGCAAAAATGTGATGTGTGTGATAAGAAACAAAATGAAATCAATAACACTCTCGAGATAGAGAGTTGTATCAGTTGTAGAAAATCCCTCATTGACAGAACAAAATAGTAGCTGAGTGAGTTTCTTACAAGTCACAGAAGGAGGTTTAAACCAGTCTAGAATGGTAGCTTTAAAACCATCCTTATATAAAAATGTTGTGGCAAGCAAAACTGAGATTTCCTGACCAAGGAAATTGCGTGCAAACTTACAGACTATTGCACTTCAGTTTTTCCTGATTTTTATTTGTATTTGTACATCTTGTCTTTATAAGAAATCAGAGACTACTCAAGATAAAATTAGAAAATAATTCTTGATTTTAAAAAGAGGCTTTTTAGTACCCAAGTCATAGCAAGTTGCATTTTGCATACTTAGGCATTTCTTTAAGTAGGTAGAATATAAATGAGGAGGAGAGTTAAATATCCTGCAATCAAAACATTACAATTATACTAAAGTGGGGACGTTTTTCTCTTTTTTTAATTACAGAAAGTACTCCAAAGACTTCTGCCAGTTGCAGTCCTGCTCCTGAATCTCCCATGAGTTCCAGTGAATCAGTGAAAAGCCTGACTGAGTTGGTACAGCAGCCCTGTCCTGCCATAGAGACGAGTAAGGATGGCAAATCCCAGGAATCCAGCGAGCCACCTGCATCTGAATCCCAATCCACGACCCCTCTGCCACTCTCAGGCCACTCAGCACTCAGCATCCAAGAGCTGGTGGCCATGTCCCCTGAGCTGGACACCTATGGCATCACCAAGAGGGTCAAGGAAGTGCTCACGGACAACAATCTTGGTAAATCACTTTATTTCATGTCTTGACCAAAATCGTGTGTAAGTGTTCATGCTTTTATTGTTAGCTACAGTAGGTGTGTATGAGAATGCCTGGGTTTGAGTCTAATTTGCTAAAAAGATGCCTAATCTTTATAAACTGGTAGAAAACTCCTTCCAGATTGTCACACTTGACTTCAAATGTCATCACACCCTTGGTCTTCCTAAGCTCTGCTCCTGGCTCAGCAGCCAGGTATTAGTCCCACCTCCCAAAACAGAGTCCAGGACCCCCAGAACCCGAGAGCCAGTGAGATCTCCCCTTGGGAAAAGCTGTTTCCCCCACACTTGCAAATTCCAAGCTCATTTTGGGTGAAGTAGAGGAGCCCAGCATGGTTGGAGAGGGAGGTGCAGCACAAGCAGGAGCAAAGTTTCCCTGCAGAGCTGAGAGAGGAAATGCAGACTCAGCTGAGGTTTAGATGAGCCTGACATAATTGTACAGGGCCACTCAGTTAGAGATGTGCAAAGCTGAGGCTGCTTTTGCCTACAGATGGGGTTTGGGCTGTTGAATTCATTGGCATGACTGTTTGGAATAGTCACAGGGAATAACCTGATGTGGGTATGGAAAATCCACATGAATACTGTCGCTCTGCCTCTAAATCACTGGTTCTTCATGTCTTTAACCCTTGCTTCCTCACAAAGCTTTGGGAAATGTTTATGGGATCCTTTGAGGGCAGTAAGGCTGTCCCAGTGTTACCTGCTCCTGCTTCTGGGTCTTAGCAAGGGATTCATCCCACCTGCACTGGGTGTTCAGGGGAGTGTCTGCTGCTCTCCAGAAGTACCAGTTTCTCTTCCTTCACTACAAATAGGACCAAAAGTTTAGATTTAGACTGATGATATTACTTATGTGAGAAGAATTTTACCCACATCATCTGAAGATGATGACTGTAAAGGTAAAAACTCCTCTATTTTAGTATGTCAGGAAGCCTTTTTTGTCTAGACACAGAATAACGTGTTACTGTCTTAAAAAAATCTTTAAGGGAGAAAAACACTGGGATGGGGGAGGTTCCAAGTTCTCATTTAACATAATTTGGGGACAAAAAAGGAAATGGCCCTGATCACTGACATATCCTGAATGAGACTGTGTTCCACTGAGCCCAGCAGAATTCCTTGCCCCTGCATTTGGCTTGGGCAGATGGTGGTTGCATGTTCAGTGAAGATAACATAGAGATAAAGCCCCAAATCATGGTAAGGGTTTGCAGATCCAAGCCCCTGGTTTTTGGGCAAAATGCTATTGAGTGCTGTACCTGCTCTGGTGTTCCAGAGAGGTTTGAAAAAAAAAAAAAAGTATTTTTGTTTACATTTGCTTTGATGCCATTTTTACTTAGTCTTTTTTATTTCCCATGATTTTTGTTTTCCTACAGTGTGGCTGACAAGCCTAAAAAGCAGCAGAAGAGCCAGGAAATGTGCCCCAAACTCTGCATTAGGTGTGGAACCAGTTTCAATGTCTCCTTTTGTGCCCTCAGTGTGCTAGTGCACCAGGTTTTCTGGTGCACAGGTTTCTCTGGTTAAGGCCACTGGGCCTTGTGAACCTGTCATAGGCAACTGGTGGTGGCTGAGGTGTCCCAGTGTCACCAGCCAGTGAGGAGCAGAGTTGGACAAAACTACTCAGACTGAGCTGGGCGGGTCTCTCCTCCCATCACCAGTAGGGGAATGGCTTCAGAATGACACAGAGCAGGTTCAGGTGGGATGTTAGGAAGGAATTGTTCCCTGTGAGGGTGGGGAGGTCCCAGCACAGGGTGCCCAGAGCAGCTGTGGCTGCTCCATCCCTGGAAGTGTCCATGGCCAGGTTGGACAGGGCTTGGAGCACCCTGGAGAGTGGAAGGTGTTCCTTTCACTGGGAGTTGGAACTGGGTGATCTTTAAGGTCCCTTCCAACCCAAACCATTCTGTGAAGGTTCTGTGGCTCCAGCACACCATGCTGGCAGTGTTCACACTGAGATGCTGCTGATGTTCTGAGCCCCAAAAGTCAGAGTATCCTCAGTGATTCCCTGCTGGGCTCCAGGGAGCTCACAGAGGGAAGCAGATGCACTCAGCTGCTTGAGGATAGGGGACATTGGGAATTTTGTAGGAAGGGTAAAGAGTATCCATGAAACCAACACAGCTTTGCCTATTAGAATCTACATCAGTGGGAACAGGCGTGAAGGATGGGGAGGAGTTTTAGGAAACCTGTGCTTAAAAATATTCCAGTTATTAATAGTGCTCTGAGGAAGATGGAGCGTGATACACCTGCTACCTCCTGAGGATGATTTCTAACACCTTCCCCCTTAGCTTGGGAGTCTTTCAGGTGTTTTCTCCTGTCCTGCCATATCCTGACATGAAATAAACAACACAAACATCTTTAGCTTTGTTCTTAACACCTAGAGAACATGATGTTACCTCCTTCCACATTTGCATTTTTAATTTTTAGGCTGTAGGTTGAGGTTCATTTCCTTCAGCAGCACTGCCAGCACTGCTCATTCCCAACCCTTTTGCAAATCTGTGCCCATATTCCTGTTCATGTGGCAACACAATAACAGATTTTTAAAGTAGCTGTGTTATCTTGCTAGTAGCTGGCAGGTTTACAGGGAAATGGATAAGGCCTTGCTGATGTTTTTAAATACAAACAGGGAGCAGGTTACCCCAGCAATATACGTGATAACAACATAAAGATAAAATTGATAAAATTGCCCCTGAATTACCTCTTTTGTCTGATTTTCCTGATATTGAGGGTAGTGGAAAATCACTTATTATTTAGGAACTTGAGTGAATTCTGAATGTAGGTTTCTGTTCAGTCTGCAAGAACTGTTTTCAGGGTTAGTTTTAGAGCTTATTAGCAGGGTGTCATGTTTTAAGCCCTGTTCTTCTTTCCCCTCTCTGCCTCTCATTATCTCAGCTGCTTCCTCTAAAAGCTTTGCAGACCTACCTGCTCCACACATCTGAGTGAAATGTTCTGCAGCTTCTGACTGTCCCATATTCCCTCCTCTCCCCATACAGGCAAAAAAACCCCACCAGGGCAAAAGTCTTGGGATCTTTTTAAAGAGAAAGAGGAGGGAAATTTTGGAGTTAAGCACAGGGGATGGGTCTATAGAGCAGATATTTGCCATGAGCTTTCTGTGTCAGGATGAGGGAAGGCTGTGAAGAGACCAAGAGCTGGTGGTGCTTTTGCAGGGCTTGTCCTGCAGAGCTGTGGGGTCAGAAGCCCCCACTCATCCCTGTTGTCCCTTAGGGATCTGTTGGTTACCACTGGCTCCAAGGGCAGGGATGTGAAGGGAGAATGTTCTGCTGTGTGTTAGTGAGGGCTCTCTAAAGCTGCAGATCAGACACAAGACCCCGAGGCCCAAATTTGGGGGTTATGGAAAGATCTTCAGGTTGCCTTGAAATCCCATGATAGCAGCACTTTATCTTAAATTCTGATGACTCAGATGACTCCAGGCTCTCTCCTGGAGCAGAAGTTGGTATCAAGGCAGTTCAGCTGAGGAGGAACACTGAAGTGAAGGGGGTTAGAAAACCAGCTGTGTGGTTGGGTTTGAGCTGCACAGGCATTTTCCCCAGTCCTTGATAAGTTAGACCTTTCCCATATAAAATCATTGTCAGCAATGCACATATGAACACTGTACACTGTAAAGCATTTGCAGATTTTACCCTGCCAGATGACAGTTTGTGAGAGAACTAAAATTAAATATTCTAAACTATAAATACTGCAGAGATTGTAAAACAGAAATTGTATTGCAAATTCTGATTATGTCTAGTGGGTAAGACCCGGTTGGATCCCCACAGATAGTACAGCACAGAAATTCCATACATGTTTCTGTGAGGACATTTATATGGCCATTGCTGAAGGGGGAGGTTGCATTGCTCTTGGTTCACTGATTGCTGGAAATGTTTGGATTGCCCTGTTGGCACAAAGCTGTGGCACTGCCCTCCTGCATAAGAGCTAAGTAGCCTCACTGCTCTCACTAGTTGCCTGCTTAGCTAGAAGTTCAGTTTATTTTTCCTCTCCTAATTTTATTTTTTGCACACAGTTTCTGTAAGGTCCTGCTCCCCAAACACGTCAAACTCCTCCCTTTATCTCAGGCATATCCTGAGGATTAAACTAAAGCTCAATATTTACCCTTCTAGTGGGGGGCAGAGCATTTATTCTCCTAAACGTTTCTTCTGGGTTTTGAAGCAGTTCTGAAGTAGGAATAATTGAGGAATGATCTCGTGTTCTTTTCCGTGTCTCGGCTGAGCGAATTCACGCGCTTCTCAATTTCGCATTAGGTCAGCGTTTGTTCGGGGAGACAATCCTGGGGCTGACACAAGGCTCTGTCTCAGACCTGCTGGCTCGCCCCAAGCCCTGGCACAAGCTGAGTCTCAAGGGAAGGGAACCCTTTGTCCGCATGCAGCTGTGGCTCAACGATCCCAACAACGTGGAGAAGCTGATGGATATGAAGCGCATGGAGAAAAAAGGTAACGGGGAGCAGAGTGCTGACTCACGCCTTCCTGTGATCAGCCTGGCTTTTATAACCCTCCATAAACAGTGGAGAGGCAGCATTGATCCAGTGTTATGAGGGTTATGCAAAAGGACTTCACCACAGCTCTTTTTGGAGCTTTTATTTGATGCTTGTTCAAGCAGATACATCTTGAAATAAAAAGAAAACAAACACGCAACAAAAAGTCAACTCCAACCCCGAAATATTCACCAGCTGCTGGGGAATCATTGCTGTTTTCTCCTGTAGATTAATTACTGAGGCCCTGGTGTATCACTGATAACTTGCCTTACCAAATGAGAAATGTGAGTTTAGGAGCTGGCTTTGGGTTATTAGCTAATAGTGCTGCAGCTGGTCACAGATGTTGGGCTGGAAGAACTGTGCATTGATTCCTGGGAAAGCTCCTCGCCAGTCCTGCACTGATGGTTGCTGGGAGGAGAGAAAAATGCAGTCTTTATAAAAGGCTATTGCAGAATAATGATATTTGTAGCCTTTAGAGGGAAGGGGAAGGTGATTGTGTTAATACAACAAAATTTGTGTGTTCTGCTCACATAAAACAGGGTCATGGGGATGGACCCTATGAGTGATCTGAGTTGTTACTGGGTACCTTAGCAGGGAGTACATCCTGCAAATTTATCCAACTCTCTCCATTTTAAATTCATCACTAAAACCCAGTGGTTATTCTGAGCCCTGTTTTTAGTATGTTCATGTGATTTTACAAGAGAGATTCGTGGGCTGCCATTATCAGCAGTTAACTAATTAATGATATATACATCTCTGGAGCTACCCCTTAATGATATTAGCACAGACATCATTAATCGTGTACACTGAAAGCTCTGCTGTTGACTGATGTTCTGAAAGCATTTACACATTTGATCCAGAACTTGGTGATTATATTTAAAATTGCAGTGCAGGAGCTTCTGGGAAAATTATAGTCTTGCAGGCTTTTAAGAAGAAATTCAAACCCTTGTCACAGTAACCAGTATAATATAAAGCAGTGCAGTATCTTAGCACAAATCGTGTATGATCTTCCATGGGGAGTAAAATCCACTTGGGTTTCCCACTTACAACTGTAAACCAAAGGGAATCGTGAGGGGTTTTGCTGTATTAGAAACATGGCAGGAATAAAATTGTCAACTAGCTGGATTTTTATAGCCTCACAGAGAATATTGCCCATAATGCAGCAAAATAAAATAAAAATAATTTAAAAGTAGTACTGACAATATCCTTTCAGAACTATTTTCTAAACTGGATTCTTATCAAATAGTGAGCGATACATATGGTCTGTAGATGGCATCTGAATAGAGATAAGGCCATAAATCATTGAGACTCTGCACTGAGCTCCTGATCTGTGCAAGTGCTGTCCTCAGAGCACAGCAGTCTAAAGTGAATTCAACCCTGTATTTTCTGCAAAATCCTTTCATGCAGGTTAAGGATCCTGTAATTTAACCTTTTAAATTGCTCAGAGCCACATTAAGAATTTAACTTTCCCTTCAGCTAATGTCAGTTAAAGAACAATGCGACTGGGTCTGCTTCCAGTGGAACATTATTATCAATTATTTCTCTGCCACATTTTATTAAGGGAGTAAATTAATAATTATGATAAAGGTGAGCTGCATATCTCTTTTTTTTTTTTTTTACTGTTCCACCAGTCTAAAGTTTGTGCTATAAATGTCCCTTTTAAGAGGTTCTGAAAATTTGCAATGTACATTAACCACCCTCTTTGGAGGGAGCTGGGGGTTCATGCTCACCAGGCTGAGCCATTCTGCACACCTTTCCTGCCTGGGAAGAGTTCATTCCTCTCATAACCTCTGGGGTGTTGTGCTGCTGGAGCATCACACTCCTCACAGAACAGCACTGGTGTCAGAAGAAAATTGAATTCCCTTTATTTCCCCATTATTTCACTTTTTAATAAACTTGTTCAATACCACATAAGATAAAAATGATATTAAAAGGGCTCTGTTTTATCTCAGTGGGCAGCTGTGCCATGGTATCTGTGGCATCCATAGCTGGGCACATGCTGGGGACTCTTCCCAGAGGGACACGTGGATGCTGGGAGGGAACAACTCAGCCTCAGACCCAGATCCAGACCTTTGCTCAAATTACAGCTGCGTTTCCTTTTCTTTCATATGTCTCCTGAGAAATGGAGACTGGTCACAGACAAAAATCAAACTTCTCCAAAAATAAAGTGTGTTTGCAACTTGGATTCCAGTTTGAGCCTTGCTGTCACTGCAAATGTGCTGAATGATCTCTTTACGTTGTCTACACGCAGCACATATGTTTAAAAATAAAAATTAAAATGGAAAAGCTTTTAAAAATGTCATCTAAGTTTCCAGAGACCAGCATTAAAGCCTGAAGTCTGAGTCCGAGTTCTGCCTTTGGCCCAGTGGAAATTTGTCCTGATAATACACTATCCTCCAGAAAACAATTGCTGTGACAGAACAGTGGAACATCCTCCTCTTTATTTGTATTTTAATGAAATATGTGCTTTTATATCATTTCTTCCATTCACATGAGAGCAACCCAGCTCAGCCAGTGCACCTTTTGTGATCCCAGTGTGAGGTTACAGGAATGACATTTTTCCCAAGCTCTCACAGCTCCAGATTGTCCTTTGCTGTTTAAGTCAGGAGCTCTGCCTTGCCAGAAACCCCATCCTTTGGAGAGCAGACAAAGGGAGATCCAGCCCATCCTGATCCCTGCATGTTTCCTGCTGACTCAGTCACCTGACCAAATTCCAGAAATTCCAGTTAGAGGTGGTCTGAGCACCTTCCACATCTCCCATGCCAGGTTCTGTTTTGTCTCGTGGCCTCCTTGAAGCTGCTGCCCCTTGCTGAGGTGATGGATGTTGTCCTCCAGCCTCTTGGTTCTGCTCTGCAAGGAAGCAAGGGAGCCTTGGCTGTAGTTTGCATGTCAATGCAATTTGGAAATAACACCCAGGAAGGAGTTTTGAGAATAAACACCTTATAGAAATATGAGATTATCTTGCTGGAATGATTAATTCCATGGCTGAAGGTTGTAGCAGTTCCTTGAAGGCTGCAAAAATAAGGCCAATGGGTCACCTTGAAATAATGCAGATTTTTTTCAGTTTTACATCTGGTTGGAACAACTTAAATAGGTGGATTTTTAAAGGAGCTTTATTAAAAAAAAAAAAAAGTTTTTTATGGTTATTTCAAATGTGTGCAGGACTGTATCACGTCAGAGTGATGGATCACGAGCAACTCACGTTGTGTTCCATATCAGTGATCTTACACAGTAGGCAATCCACAGGTAATCTGTCATATTCAGGAAAAACAAAATGTGGGCCATGCAGATACCCCCAAAGGTTACAGAGTGTGTTCAGAATTCAGTTCCATGATAGTAAAGCCACAGTGCCAAAGGTCCCACTGGAGGCAGCATGGAGAGGGCAGGGTGCTGGAACCCACTGGAGCCAGAAAACCCAGCCAGTCCTGGAGGGAGCCTTGCCAGGAGACACTGGCTGGGGTTTGAACGCTGCAGTTGATTTGATTGCACTGAATTTTTATTCATTGTGCAGCCTCAGCCTGAAGGCAGAGCTGGGGGGAGAGAAAAATTGAATTTTTGAAGAATTTGGTTGCTGACCAGTGTGACTGGCCCCACAGTGTCCCTGGCTCCAGCCAGAGCTCCTGGCTCCTGGAGATTTAATGCCTCCTGGATTGATGTCTGGCTGGTGTAGTCTGGAACTTAATACCCGAGGTTATCAAACTACAGCTCTTGCATATGTAAACTCTTAAATATCTGGAAGATATTTAACAGGCATTAAATATTTTATTGACAAGATTCATCTATATTTGCTGTTTTCAGCCCCCTCATTAGCAATGCTTGTGCATGATACTGCCAGGTGCAGTAAATCCCACCTCTCCATGCCCAGTGTAAATCAATCAAGCCGGTGACAGCCTTTGCTGGGACTCCTTCCTTGTGGAATCTGCCAGGATAATTCACTCTCAGTCAGGAAGGAAGGTCAGGGGCAGGATCACAGGCTCCTGCCATCAGCCTCACTGAGCCCATCAGCGCAGGGAGAGCTTTCTCAAGAGTGTCTGTGTTTTGGAAGGAGCTTTGTGTAGGGGAGGAGGGGGCTGGGGGCTGGTTTTCTTTCATAACCTGTCAGTGCCACAGCAGAGAGCTGTAGGGAAAGGCAGCAAACGCCTGATGGGCTGTGCAGCCCATTCCTGGCATCTCCGGGCTCCAGGCGCCATCGTGTGTTGGGATGGCTTGGGAAGGTGGGAATGCTGCAGTTCCACTTCCACATTCATATTTTCCTTAATGTCAGAGACACCTCCGTGCACACCTGAAGTGTTGTAACCACCCAACCCCTTTCAGTCAAAATGAAGCACAGCTGTCCCAGTCAGGGCCTGACGTGGGAGTTCACTCCTCTCCAAGGAGTGAATCTGAAATGAGCCGTGTGAACTGAACCCTGTCATTCGTGTCCCACGTTCATTGTAAAGGCAGAAAACTCTGGCAGGTTTCCAGCTGATTTACTTTCTTTTCTTCTCTTTCTGCCTCTTGCATCCTCACTGCATTTGGTCTCTGGTGGTGCCCCATCCTTCCTGTCCCCTCCTGCCATCTCTGTGTTTATCCCTCAGCTCGTGCATGCATTGATTCTGTATTTGTATTCAGCCAGGGCTGATGGGACATGTTTCTCTTTCAGCCTACATGAAAAGGCGGCACAGCTCCGTCAGTGACAGCCAGTCCTGCGAGTCCTCATCCACTGGCATCGACTACAGCCAGGGTGCCAGCCCCCAGCCCCAGCACCAGCTCAAGAAGCCCAGGGTGGTGCTGGCACCAGAGGAGAAAGAAGCTCTCAAACGAGCCTACCAGCAAAAGCCATACCCATCACCAAAAACCATTGAGGAACTCGCCACGCAGCTCAACTTGAAAACCAGCACCGTGATCAACTGGTTCCACAATTACAGGTGTGTGACCTCCAGGGAGCCCTGCTCCTGAGGGGGGGCTTGGCTTGGCTTTGGCAGGTGCTGCTCTGCCTCAGCAGGCTGTGTCAGGGGGTTGTGCAAAACAAGCAGCTTTGACAGCTGGGAGGTTCTCACTAACACAGTGCTAATGCTCCAGACTAATTTTAAGTCATCCCTGAAGAGCAGCAATATTCACATATTGATGTAAGTAGTGCTTTTAAACAGAAAGTCTGGCTTTTGGGGTGGGCGTGGATGTAGAGATGTCCACTGATGAATATTTATAAACCCCCTGCAGCAGCCAGGCTGCTGTGTCTGACTCACATGTGCACAGGCACAGACACGTGTCTGTGTGTGGTTGGTGTTGTCCCTGGGTCACTAGGTGTGGGGTACATGGAAATGTCCTTTATTGGATGCCATCAGAATTGTCCTGCTTTCATTGTGTCATTTTCCTGCATCAGAAGAAAAAAGAGGATTTTCTCACCGAGCTCTGAAAATAGGCACAGTGTTTATGATGTGTTTCTGGGGAGCTTCGTGGAGTCCTGAAGGACAGAGAAGCAATAACCCTGAAGTCAGATGAGAAGGACTTCCTACAAGGGCCTGCAGTGCCAGGAGAGCCAGAGGGCAGGGATGGATGGAATATTGGGAAGGAATTGTTCCCTGTGAGGGTGGGCAGGCCCTGGCACAGGGTGCCCAGAGCAGCTGTGGCTGCCCCTGGACCCCTGGCAGTGTCCAAGGCCAGGCTGGACAGGGCTGGGAGCCACCTGGGCCAGTGGAAGGTGTCCCTGCCCATGGCAGGAGGTGGAACAAGATGAGCTTTTAGGTCCTTTCCAACCCAAACCATTCCAAAATTCTATGATTTATCTCATTGTTGTGATTAAATCAAGCCCCACTTGAATAAAATGTTAGTCTGTTCAGTTGCTTTCTTGTTTGAGGAGGAACCTTCTCCACATTTGAACCCCTGAAGTAGGTTTTGGCCTAGAGACAACGATAAAAAGAGACAAGGCTGGAATAGCACATAAGAATTATAAGGATTTAAATAAACATATTATCAACTGCTTGGGATTCAAAGTCCTAATTAATGCAGCAGACTTTTCTCCAAGAAATTTGTGCTAATGAATATTGAACAGGTACAGTTAAGCTACCAGATTTAATACTATTCTGCTCCTTCACTCGGAGCCAGTAACGTTCCTAATTAGTCCAGATTGCTAAACTTGTTTGTTTTTCAAAACTGCTAACATTTAAAGGGTAGTTTTTCACTTTGGCCCTTCTCAGCTTTTACTGGGGAAGTTGCTGAAGCTAAAGCAGCAGAGTTTAATGAGCTATCTCAGAAATACTGTGCACAATAGTTAAATAATGTTTATAGTAAACAATACAAAATTTTTTAAAAATCGAGTAATCATATTTACACTGAATTCCACTGCCTTGAATTCAGTACAGATGCAGCCTCTTTTCACTGCTCAGAGTTCTCCAAATGCAGGCCTCTTCCAATTCCCACTTGCAGGCAATTATACACAAGTTGGAGGGATGCCTATGAAAATATGTTCCCTTCGGCCTGACAGCAAAATGTGCTGTTCTCACTTGGGCAGACGAGCCTGGTGGCAGGTGTCACCTCCCTCGTCACCACGAGATCCCTGCCTGGGCGTGTGCTGATGGGTGCCTGCAGCCCCACCTTCCCGGGGAGGAGGTGCTGACAGCTGGACACAAAATCCAACCCTGCAGACTGGGGGCAGCTCAAGGCTGGGCATTGACTGATCTGGGCCTGCTCCCAGATGTGCTGCTGGGACTGCAGGGCTTTCAAAAGATGTTTCCAGCCTGTTTGGAGCCCTGTGTGCTCTGAGCACTGAAAAATCAAAACACAAACCTATTTTTTTGTTCCCTTTGACAATAACTTGCTTAGCTGTCGTGCATTAATTTCTCTTAGGGTGTTGCAGAAGAGGGAAAGGTTCTGTGTGCTGTGAGGAGAGCAGGGTTTCACTGTTCTGCAGCTCATATGTTAAAAGAAATGGGTGGTCTTTATTTCAGTCTTCTCTAGGCCACACTTAACTTCATTTATCTCTTTTATACCCTCCCTCAGCCATTTCTTTTCCAAACTGAAGATTTTTTTATACAGAAGCAGTTCCACATCTCAGACCATCTGCTTGTGCTTTAATTCTAATTTTTCTGTAGCTTTAGATAAGGGAGGGCACAGATTTGGACAAGATTTTCTTGCTGTCTCTTGGGAATGCTGTTGCAGTGATGGTTTTCCTTTCAGATTCAGCCCAAATCTCACTTTCCAAAGGTGGTTGCTGCAGCAGGATCTACCTTTATATCCACCAGATGGAAAATCAGCATTAGCATTTATTTCCTTCAGCAAAAAGAAACGCTGAAAAAAATAAGCTCAGCAGGCAAAGAAATAATTCACTTCAGAATATAAATGGATATAAAGGATTTTGACATGTCTGCAAACATCTCCATGTCTATGGCTTTGCATTCATAGCAGTCACAGAGCTCTCAGAATATGCAATAAATATCCCTTGCTTTGCACTAGTGAAGCACATGCAGGACACATCAGAGTTTGAAGCTCTGATGTCTTAAGAATGGTACAAAAAAAGCAGGAGGGAGGAATTTCTATCCCACTTCACCTGTGGAAACTGGCACATAAACTCAGTAAGGCCACAGAGATGATACTACAGACACATCAGGAATGAAACCAGACTTTCTGGAATTGTTATCCAGCACTCTTGGACCCGAGGTTCTGAGTGTATTTTTCAATGAACTCTGTATAGTGCTGGTTTTGATGTTGCATGAAGGCTTTTCCGGGGAGCTGCACAAACACCCAGATCTCTGATGTTTTGAGCTCCACTGGTGAAAGCCAGCAGGGTGTGTGGATGTCAAGGCCAACACCTTCCCCAAGAGAAATGCTCTCTGGAATCCTCTTGCTGCTGTCACCAGTTCTTTACCATAAGAATTTAATTACTATGTTAATCAGGAGCCAGACCAGATTCCAGAAGCAACATATTGGGTGTGAATTCCAGGGGTTTCCACAGACATGAGTTGGATGTTTGTAGAGCTGTGGTCAGATTCTCAGTGAGGCTCAGTACTTGCTGGAGCTGAGGTATTTTAAATGCCAGGCAGGCACAGAGCTCTTACCAGCCTCCTCTCCTGACCTGGGGAATATTACAGAAGCACCATGTTCTGGATCAATGTCCATGCAGGGAGATTTTAGGCATAAATAGAGCCTGATAATCGATGTTGCAGGATGCGTGCAGTTAATGGTAATAGAAAATTAATGTTAGCACCTGTGGGCTTCTGTTAGGTGAATAATATTCTCCTAGGGAAAATTACAGACCCCCTAAATCCTTCAGAAGTGTGGAGTCAGCGAGTACTACTGAAATACTCTGTTGCATTTCAAGTAAGTCAATAAGATCATTAGCTTCAAAAGCAGTATTCAGGTGGTGTTCTCTGTTTAGCTGAATGTTTTTCTATTGTGTGCTGTCTTCCATAGCACAGTTAAGGAAAAATAGAAAATCCTTACAGCTGGGACAGCGTTTCACTTGTGGCTTGCAGGCCCCTTGGTAGTTCCCTGTGGCTGAAACGAAGAGTTTTTTATCTTTGCTCTGAAAAATAATGTTTTCCCCAGATCTGTGGTCCCATCCCTGACCCCAGATCATTGAGGCTCCCTCTTGGTTATAAATTAGGACTTAAATGGTGTTCATCACTTCTCCCATGGATGCAGCAGGACAGAGAAGGGGTTAGCCCAGACCCTAAGGTTTTCCATAAACTTTTCTGTATTTGTGAGGATTTTGGGAACTCCTAAACAGAGAAGGAAGAAGGAGGAAGGCCTGAGTTAAATGGCAGAGGTTTGGGGTATCCTTGAACACCAGGCAATTCTACCCACACATGGAGTGCAGTCATTCCTATGAAAGGCACTGCTTGGCTTGTCACTATTCATGTTCTGAAATTGACTTTTTAGATAAAAAACGAGGCAAAAGGCAGACTAGCTCATAGACTGGCAGCCTGTCACAGGCTGGGCTTTCTCACTGTGCTTTCAGTACAATGGGCTTGGTTTCATCTTCATTTCTCCTCACTGTCCAGGAGCACCAGGGGGCTTGTCCAGCTTTCTCCTGGTTTATTCTTTGTTTACGCAGACTGGCTCATTTCTGGTAGAAATCTGAATTATTTTGTCTTTACAATCCACTTTATTCCAGATCTCCTAAAACCATATTCATATTTTTTGTTACAAATACTAACTTCTCACCAGGGAAGTGGTGGAATCACCACCCCTGGAAGCATTCAAACAACAAGTCAACGCAGCGCTTGGTGGTAGAGTTTGGTGGTACTTGGTTGGAAATTGGACTTGGAAGTCTTTTCCAGCCTTAGTGATTCCACAGAAGGGCATTTTTAGTGGGGTCCATGATCTCAGAAGTCTTTTCCAGCCTTAGTGATTCCACAGAAGGGCACCTTTAGTGCAGGTGGGCATCTCCTTGCCGCCCCGGCAGTCTCACATCCGTGTCCCCTGTCTCCTAGGTCCCGCATCCGCCGGGAGCTGTTCATCGAGGAGATCCAAGCCGGGAGCCAGAGCCAGGCCGGCTCGAGCGACTCCCCTTCGGCCAGGAGCAGCAGGGCGGCCCACAGCTCCGAGGGGGACAGCTGCGACGGCGTGGACGCCGAGGGCCCTCCCGACGGGAAGCCGAGCGGCCCGGAGGCGGACGAGTTGAGCAGCGCGGCCGCCAAGTCTCAGGGAGGGCCCGCCGAGCCGGCTCTCGAGGCGGGGGAAGAGGCACTGCGAGGCGCCAGGCCCTCGGAGAGAGCGGAGCCCGAGGGCCTGGAGGACACCGACGACGAGGGCCGGCTCAGAGCGCCGCGCCAGAGCTCCCCGCCGGCACCGCCGCGCCCGGGAGACGCAACGGAGACACTGCCAAACTCTGCCACGGAAGGGGATGCCTCTACCTCAGCTGCCTCCACCTCAGTCCTTACGGGGGAGAGCTCCTACAAGTCAAAAGAAAGTTCAGAGAAAATCTCCAGTGTGCCAAGTACGAGCTCGACGCCGGCCGCAGGCTCGCAGAAAGCCAACTCTCTGCAGAGCTTGTTCGGCTTCTCGGAGGCGGCGAGCTCCAGGAACACGCGAGACAGCTCCCTGAGGAAAAAGAAAGCGGCCAACTTGAACAACATCATCCATCGCTTGGAGAAGGCCGCCAGTCGGGAGGAGGCCGTGGAGTGGGAGTTTTGAGATTAAACTGGCCCAACTCGGGAGAGCTGGGAAGTCAGACTGGACCTCTACTGGTTTTATTGTGTTCGCACTTAACCGCCCTGCGGGCCACAGGGCAAAAACGCCATAGGCCAAGGTGCATATAGAAATCAAAAAAAAAAGAAAAAAAAAAAAAAAAAAAAAAAAAAAAAAAAAAAAGGAGCGTTAAGCCCAATTTATGTTTGTGTTTTCGAGGAAGAAAACTGAAATGTGTAGTCAAGCTTTTTTGTACCCTGAAGTGTTTTTATTATTGCCCTAAGTGATTTCCACAATTTCTGGAATAACTCATACAGCTTTGCCTTGTGCCCTCCTCTTTGGTGTGGGGCTTTAAAAAAATGAAAAACAGGAAAAAAAAAAAACTAAAAAAAAAAATCTTAAAAAAAAAATCAAACCCACATATTAAAAGGGGGCTTTTTATCTGCCATCTAATGGCTACAGAGCGATAATACACTATTATCTTCTTAAACCAGGAAAAAAGGGGAGATTTTTCAAGAAAAAGAAAAAAAAAGAAAGTTTTTTGTAGCTGTTCAGTTGCCACTAAGAGATTGCACAGTCAACCGACTCTAAACACACTAGTTTGGATTCCTACATATTTTCAAGAAAAGAAAAGAATCTTGTTGTTTGAAACTTTGAATTAAAAAAAACACATTTACTCCACATATTTTTTAACAAAACAAAAAAAAAGTCACATCAGGAAAATATCTTAATTTGTGGTAGCTGACTTAGTGTTTTCTTGTAAGTGAAATAGAATATTGACACGTAGTGCACATTGTTTCATAGCTTTAACTGATTCTGGTCTTTTGCAGCCCAGAATTTGTTTAATACACTCCATTTTAGGCCAAATCAGGACAAAAAAAAAAAAATCTGAATCTAGGTATTTTATAATCTGCTTTTTAACCTCTAACCACAGAGCACGCTGATCAGACCTCATATCTGGGAGGTTTAGGAGACAACTTAGAAGCAGCATGTACTTGATCATTTCACTTGGTTTGTAGTGTACAGGATTTCCTTTCAGCAAAGCCAGATCGCTCCAAAAAACGTTGGCCAGTAACATTTCAGCCTGCTCTTGGGGGCCTAGCCCGTATCCCGACCATTCAGCTCACCTGGAATCCTTGGCAATGCAGTTCACGTGTCCGATTGCTGTCACACACCACTAAGAGGGACTGGAGCTGCCGCAGACCCAGCCCTTTTCCTGCTGTTGGTGGCCATTTACTGACTCTCTTCCCACCACGAGCACTGATTTTAAATACGTTTTAGTTGTGGGAAGCTCCTTTTTTTTTTTGCGTGGATAAAGAGTACATGGCAATGACCAGACGGGCTCTTACCGGGGTGGAAGCAGCCCAAGCTCGAAACCAAAACCTTCGTGCTCTCGAATCCCAGTCCGGCCCGTTCTGCCCTGCAGAAATGCAGCCTTTCCCCATTATTTTATGCACAGGTTAGGGCTGATCAAAGTACAAATCCAATTCTAACTTGTCTCTAACTCCTCCTGTTGTCTATATGTATATGCGTGAGCATAGAGGTGTGTGGAAGGATGTGTGTGCGTGGGTGTGTGCGTGCAATTTTATACGTCTGTGTATTTTCTTACGTACTTGTGCACACATAGAGTGCATTACTGCCACCTTTTTTCAATAAGCTGTTTTATCAGTTATGGCTTCTACAAGTTTGCTAATTTAGACTCCTTTATTGCCATATCTTTAAAACTAACAATAGATGATTTCGGAATATATATATATATATAAATATATATATATATAATTTTTTTTTGCTTATTTATAGGTGCTGTATTTTATTATCTGATTGTTAGGAAGGGATGAAAGGGGGCAAATATTCTTTAGAGGGATAGACTGCCGGCAGTATTGGGTATAATTTACAAGATGTAGTTGTCATACTGTATATTATTGATTGAAGACTTTTTTGACCGTATTGTGTATCATTGAACTTTTGTCTTAGGTCAGCATCTTTTTGATGACACTTTAATGGTGCATTCATTACTTCTTAAGTTTAATTAATATTACTTTTCTGATTTTGGGGGAGGGAGGGATGGGGGAGAGGAGTTCCGACTTTAAAGGTATGTTCCCAATATTACACCTCAGTGTGCTTGTATTAATTCATTAGTAGGATTTTTGACTGTAAGATGTGAAACCACATTTCTTGCATGATGTTTTAGAACTTATGTATTTCATTTACAGTCTCTTAACATGCGACAGCAGCACTTAGCTCAAGTTTTCACAAATTTAAGAATCAGTACACTAAAATCCATCCTTCTCATGACTAAGGAAAGAAGGCTCTAGGAGGCTGAAAGGCAGGGATTTATTTCTGATTTTCACTGCTATAGCTGTTTCAGGATTCCTCCTTGGGTAACTGGGGACTCGTGATGAAACTAAAGCTGAGGAGCAGAGAGAGAGCAGCTGCCCCTTTCTGTGATGAGCTGAGGGACAATTGGCAGTGACAGACACCAGGGTGTGGTGGGAGCACTCCTGGCTTCCCACCAGGAGCGTGGCCAGTGCGTGGGAAGGGGGTGAAGCCAAGGGTGACCTCTCTGTACCTGCCCAGTGTCCTGCTCTGACTTCCAAAGCACAGCTCCGTGGATAAACGTCCTGGTAGGAGTTCACATACCTTAGTACAAGTCACGACGAGCTGCATCTCCAGCCAAGAGCAAAACTTCTGCCCAGGAGATGCAGATATTTTCTTAGGTTCTTTTATTATTTTTATTTTTTTTTCTTTGTTGTTGTTTGGTTCAGGTTGGGTTTTTTTAATTAATTCTAGGCAATACACTTGCCAGTCTGTTCCTACTGTCCTTGTCTGCTGATTTGAGACCCAGGTGCTGGATGCAGTCAAGTGGTTACTCTCGGCTTTCTCCATAGTGAGGGGTTTTTTTTCTGTTGGATGATTTTATTTGTTTTTTTTTTTTAAGTTAATATTCCCCAAACTATTCTTGTGCCTGTGTCTATCTGATTGCATTCCATGATGCTTACTGAGAGCTCTGGCTGCACTGTACGACAGCAGAACTGTATTCACAGGTCGCACGCAAATGCAGCACTTAAGGTCAATCTCTCTTCTTAATAAGCAATACGTAAGTGCCTTGAAACATATCTTCTTTTTTTTTTTTTTTTTTCCTGTTTATTTTTGGTTTGCTTTTCAGGTTTCCACTAGTTCTTTAGGATTCTTTAGTGTCCGCCCAGTTTTTAATGCTGTAATGATTTTTTAAAAGCATATCTGTAGCTTGCCCTAGAGGAAATCTTTCTTTCATAACACTAACTGTTAATTCTAAGCTCCATTATTCCATTTGAGTCATGTAATTTTGCTGGATAAAGACAGCGTTCAGAAGTCAGAAGTCACTCCATCCTGCCAAGCGTTGTCATTGGGATCTATTATAAAATTAATCAAATAAAATGCTGTCAGTATTTCCTATATTTTTGGCACTTTATTAATGGCTTAGCTCCTTTTGCTGTTTCATATTTAATGATCTGTGTTGAATGTGGATTAGCCTGCTGAGATGCTGTTGGGGTGATCCCCTGCCCGGAGTCCCTTTGGGTCCCTTGGTGCCCCCTGGTTCGAGGGCAGGGGCCAAGGAGCACCCTCAGACCTGGAGCTCAGAGATGCTCCCGGGCTTTGTCCTGGTGTTTAGCCAAGGTCACAGCTGCTTTTCTGTTCAGTGGAAAGTAGGATGGATTAGTTGAACTACTGCTGAGGTTCTCGGGTTGGACATGAGTTACCTGCTGGTGTTTCTGGCCAAGGCCCCCCAGTTTAGAGGCTGAACTTACACTGCAGGGTGTGAGCAATAGTTGGGATCAATTTGGAACTCACCCTTGGGAGGAAAATGTGCTTTGGAATACCTTTTTTTTTTTTTTTTTTTTAAACTTAATTCAAAGGATAAAAAGTTGAAGGACAAGAAATGCCAAAGAGCAGCATGGTGGCTGTCATCCCTTGGGTGCTGATTCCAGGGAAGGGAATGTGTGAAAGGTGTGACATGGGGCTCATCTCACAGGGCAGCAGAGCCCTCGTTGCTGACATTTCTTTTCCTGATGGATAAAAGCACAGGCAGTTTTCAGGAAATCCATCATGCCAGAGTCTGTTTTTCCTGAGGTTCTTTGAAAGCATTTTATTTTCTCTCTCTGTTTCCAGTTCCATGCTCTTACCAACGCTGTGCATGAAGGGCCAGGGCTGTTTTAATAGAAATACGTTTATATTGCAGTTAAATTGTTGGTTTTTCTCTCTGGATGATTAGGGAAGGAAAAAAAAGTGCAGTGCTTTGTTTGCTAAAAGCCAGGAAAGAGTATCCCGTGGCAGAAGGGTCATGCAGTGGGATTGTCGATACACTTCCATTTTTCAGGATACAGATTTCAGACAAAAGCATTGCAGATGTTTATTGACAGAAATGCATTTAATTGCAGTTGCTTTTGATGCCATAAAATTTGACCATTTTATTTATTCATCAGTGAAATGCCTATAAATAGAGCCACCCTTTAAAGGAACCCATATCAGTGCACTCTGCCCATATCATGAATTAGTGAGTCCTTAGGTAATAAACTCCTTGCTGTAATAGGAAAGATCTATATTACAGCTAAAAAGAAATAAGTATGTGCCTTTCTCATTAGCTAAAAGATCTCTGCATTATTTTTATGTAACTCGTTGATATGGGATTGGTGTAGAGCAATCATGAACACCATGACCATGAACACCACAGAATTCTATGCAATATTTTCCAATCCAATTACTTAAAAGTCACTATTTTTCAATCCTTTAACAGGAGAAATAGTAAGTTGGAGAAGTTAATCATTCTGATGGTAATTCAAACTGCAAAGCTGATAAATTGACATAAAATAGGATTGAGTGACACGTGACAAATTAATGTGATGAAATAAGGAAAATGCTAACAGTGGTTGCAGTCCCTACAAGCACAGCTGCCATCAGAAGTCTGTCATCTCCCATTTTAAAATTAATAATTTCCAGTGTTCTTAAAGCTTTTATGAATAAGAATGCTCCTGGCAAAAACGGGGCAGGTAATAAAGAGGAAAAAAAATCACATTTTGACCATATAGAAATTATGAGAATACACAAAAAAAGTAATTGGGTTTGGACGCTTTGCACTTGGATCCAAAATGTTTTATTTCAGTTGAAATGCCGCAGTAATCTGTGCCTTTAGCAGGGTTGTGAGAGATCAGTAGCTTGGCAATTTGTTGCAGACTGAAAGTGGAGTGGTGACATTTTTAACCTGCACATGGAGGGCACTATTTTTGCTTCATTTGTGTCTCTTCCTACAAAGGAGTTTCTGAAATTCTCTGCTTTCCTCTTCACCCAGTGGATGTTCTCTGTCTCAGCCACCAAGTGTGGCCGAGCTCCTCTGGGAGACTCAGAAGCAAGAGGAGAAGGAGGAAAGTTGGTTCTTAGGTGGGGACTGGATTTAACATTCCCTAAAACTAAGTCAGGCCTTTCCCAGGAGTGTGTGGCAGTTTTGGCCCTAGAGTGACCAGCTGGTTTTAGCCTTTTATCCCTAAATTTAACTCACATGGATAAAACATTGGCAAAGCAGGACTGGGTTGATTCCTATGTTGTTCTGCCTTCCCCTTTCTGCTCTGTGAACATCAGAATTTTCTTTGTGTTGCATATACAATCAACTTTTCTGAGAATTTAAAAATTCTATACAAAGGAAAGACCTTCCCCTCCCTGCCCCAGCAGTTTAAAGTCTGGTTTTAAATTGCAAGGAGAATCACTGGCAAGGGAAGCACAAGATCTGAATTTCTTTTCTGATATAACCTTTGTAGTTCAAAAGGGGTGTAGCAGTCCCCGTCTCCTTCACATAGATTTGAGCTCTAAAATGTAGAGATATAATTTCACCAATTTCTTCTTTCCTCCCCATCTCTTTTATAGGATATATTGACTATGCCATATATAGTTAATAATGGACTTTATAGCAAGAAAAGCTCTTTATGCCATGCCTAGGGATGGATTTGTCCTACATGACCAGGTCGTGGACTATACCCTACCCTATTAATATGCAAGGATAAAATGGTTTTATGCTCTGAACATGAAATGTATCCTTTTGGAGAAGATTAGCATTAGGCCTGTGCACTTATGTTTTGAGAAAGCCTTAAAAACAGGTGTGTAAGTGGTGCCATCTCTGTCCTCAGGGATGATTTTCCCCCCAGCCAAGTGGTACTGTGGCATATTTAATAGCAGTTATTAGTTATAAGGTCATTATTCCAGCTGAAGAAAGTCATTCATTGAACTTCATTAGTGAGCCCCTCACCAGCATCCTCTGTACAATTCAGGACCTGCTTTTCCCAACACCTGGGCATCCATATCCATCCCAAAATTCTTGGCTCTCTGTGAAATTTGTGGTTCTACAACCCTTGTGAATGGAAAAAAAACCGATGGGATTCCTGGCCTCGATTGTCATTGTTCTTCACAAACATCTTCTGGCACTAAAGTGCATTAAAAGGAAATGCCTCCTTTTAAAAAACTAATAAGATTATTGTATTTTTTTCCTTGTCCAGCTCTTCTGTAAAAGGTCAATTCTGCCAGTTTCAAGCTTGCTTTACTCAGAGTGGTGTTGGGAGATTTTAGCCACAGTTCTGTAGATTTCCTATTATTAAAACTGTTGGTTTCATCACATCAGATCAGTTTCTTTGGACTTTGAACCAGCTGAGTGCAGAGAGCAACTGAATCCTTAACCACAAAAAAAACAGTGCAGGACCAGTGCAGCAAAGTGAACATCCCTGTGAGGTGGTGTCTTTGGCTTTCTGCTTGAATTCCAGAGATATTTGTAATACATGGTACAATCTTCATCCAAAGTTCTTTGGAAATGGAGAGTCATGCCCGGAATTTCCTGCTGTTGTGGTGCCACACCTGATTTTTGCACAGTTCCTGTGTAATTCCTGGTAGTGTCACAACAGCACAGCCTCTCTCTTGACAGCAAGAACAAGAGTTGTGTTCTCTTGAGTCCATGTGGGTAATTAATATGCAATTTTGGGAATTGTTAAATGGGTCTCTGTGCATCATTCCAGGATGGAAAAGCCCCTCTGTGTATTTAGCATTTGTGTGCTTGGTCTTAATGGTGCAGCAGTATTGCTGCAGCCAAATTTGTGAAATCATTTGGGATGTAGGTGAGCGAGGGCTTAAAACCAATATGTATTTTAATGGGCAGAGGATGCCATTCCCCACTTGTCAGCTGCATTCCCTGCTGTAAAGAGGGGATTAGCCACTGAAGAGACCAGGCTGCTGGAGATGCATGGGTTTAACTAATGAGGATGGGGAAGATCATGCTCAGAATACATAAAAATTATCCCAAGGGTCTGAGATGTGCAAGAGCCAAGGAACTGTAAAGGAGGTTTGGCTTCCTGCAGGAACTTCATATCCCAGATATTTGCACATGTCTGGTGGTCTCTCCTTTATCAATGTACAGTGGACAGTAAAGACATATTTAAAACAATCACAAAACCAGCTAATTAAGTAAATTCGAGCCAAGTATGGAATTAAAGCAAGCAGCTCAGCCTTGCTCTCCCTTAGCTGAAAATTCAAGTATTCGTAGGAATGAGGTGGAAATTTTCTGTTAGGCAGCTCCTCTTGGAAGGCGAGTGTCTGTGCTTTCAAGAGAATAAATAAAACTTGGCACTTGACTTGCTCTGAAGTACAATCTTGTCTCCAAATAACTAGGAAAAATATTTTTGCAATCAGTCTTTCAATCAGACTTCCCTGGCTTTTATTAGCTTGTGTTGGACCCTTTGTGCTGTTTTGATGTGTTATTTATATGTGGGTAAGTTATTACTAGCTTTAAAAGTGTTTCCAAAGTATCTGGTTACCTCTGGATGCTGGTGCAGGTGATACAGGGAGTACTTGAGCATCTGGTTTGGGAAGCAGGAGCGTGGGGAATAAGCAAGGTCACATCTGTATTGTACTTTTCCTTTTCCTTGATCAGGGCTTCCATTTCCTTCTCACTTTCTCTAGAGAGATGGAGTTCATGGGTCATTCCTTTTTTTCTGTGGGAGAAAGATTTTAGTCGAGCTTGAAATGATTTTATTTTCACTCCATAGGCATATCATCAAAATCCTGTATGTTGCCACATTTCCCATTAAGTCTTTAGTGAAATTTACTCTTTCACTTTCTCTACTTGGAAAGCTATGTGCCTTATTTCCTAATCTCTTCGTGGAGAATAATCTAAAGCACAGTGGTCTGGCTTGCAGCATTCCCAGCCGCTTTTCCTTTTTTTTTTTTTTTTTTTTTTTTTTTTTGAGGTTTTATTATTTTTTTTTTTTTTTTAGAGTGGGGAGCAAACACTGCTGGAGCATCCCAGTGTCCCAGCACTGGCTCCCAGCCCTGTGTGAGGAGTTTTTGTGCAATAGAAACTCTGGGTCCGTGTCTGGGGTGGGGGTTCCTGTCCCACAGCCAGCCAGGACAAGCTCTGCTTCAGGAGAATTCACATTCCTGGGGGGGGAAGGAAAATCCCTCATCCCTGTGGGTTTGTTCCAGCAGTTGTGGGCAGGACTCGGCCATCACCCAGCCTGGTGCTCGTCGGGCTCAGCCTCGCAGGTCTGGGGTGTGCGAGAACCCCCCGGTGCCCTTCAGCCGTGGCAGCTCCTCGGTGCCATCAGTCACAGCTGCTGTCCCCAGGGCCATCCCAGGGCCCTGCTGCCTCTGCCTGCTCTGGGGCACTGTCCAGTCATTCCAGTCAGGATTTGGTTTTTGTGCAGAACAGGCTCCCCCCAGCCCTCCCCGAGCTCGCTCTCTCTGCAGCATCAGAAGGTGAAACACACAGAGGTGGTTTGTGATTAGGACAACAATCTAATATTTTCCTATTTATGAGATTAATTTTTAACAATTTCTTCTTTTTTTGTCGAGGTTTGTTGTTTTTT